GGGGGGGGGGGGGGGGGGGGTCAGCGCTAACAAGGCCAATTCAATCAGGGTGGATGTGGCCTATTCCCAACAGTTGACAAGAAGGGGTGAATATCAACAGAGAGATACTCACACCTTCTTGTCAACTGTTGGGAATGGGCCACATCCACGCTGATTGAATTGGCCTTGTTAGCATAGGCACCAACTCCGTGGGTGCTCCGGGGCTGGAGCACCCACGGGGAAAAATTGGTGGCTCATTTTTGCTGCCCCAAGCAAAAAAACCTAAAAACGCTCGGACTGCTGCCGCCCCAACTGCCGAAAGACCAAAAAAAAAAAAAAAAAAAAGCTGCCCGGACTGTGCCGCCCCAAGAATGGACGGAATGCTGCCCCTTAGCATGTGCCACCCCAGGCACGTGCTTACTCTGCTGGTAAGCCGGCCCTGTTTGCATTGCAACAGCTCTTTATGGATCCACATCACCTCCTGTTCCAGCATGCCCCCAACCTTTCAACTGCCACATCCCCACAAGGTCCCTACATGAGAGAGTGCCAGCACAACAATGGCCAGGGAACTGAACTCCCAAGTAACTCACTACATCAGCTTTGTCACTTTCATATGCACATTTTGTACTTCCCTTCTGTACATTTTGGTAGAAGTTAATCCAAACAATTTCAGATAAATCTTACAATGTTTTATGTAAGTCTCAAGCAGTATTTATGATTTAAAAAATAAATAATCATATGTAAAATTTATATACACATTGGTATCAAGCCAATTCATGGACACCTGGTTACACTGATAATATTTGATCACTTATCTTGTTGTGTTAATCTATTAATGTCTAGTTTATTCAGATAAATCAATATTCTCCAATAATATTTACCTTTCATATAGCAACATTCATGTCCAAAACTTAATTCTTTACAAACATTAACCCACACTGTGGCTTTAAGCCAGGGCCTGTGTAGGGGTGAAGGGGGTGAGAAAGAAACATGCAGCAACTGCAGTCCCTGAGAAAATTTGGGCCAGCAGTCCAAGCACACTTTGAAAAGGCGCTCTCCCACAACAACTCAGCTCCTCCAGCCAGGGCCGGCTCCAGGCACCAGCCTGGCAAGCAGGTGCTTGGGGCGGCACGTCCAGCTATTCGGCGGCAATTCGGCGGACGGTCCCTCACTCCCGCTCGGAGCGAAGGACCTCCCGCCGAATTGCTGCCGCAGATCGCGATCGCGGCTTTTTTTTTTGGCTGCTTGGGGCGGCTAAAACCCTGGAGCCGGCCCTGCCTCCAGCTGGTGCAAAGGGGAATATCTCTGGTTCACAATGCCTTTGGAGAGTCTAATGCTGGGGTTGGAACTAAATAAGCATAGTACTTGCAATCCCCACTGACAGTGTGACTGGCCCCTGAGCAATTTGAAGGGGAAAGGATGTAAAGAAGCTCCTTGCTCCATCCCTTCCATACCCACCCAAGGCCACAATCCAATTCATAATCTAACTTTTACATGCACGTGACACACAAAAAGTAACCATATATGAACTGTTTTTTCACTAATCAACTGCCCATGGAGCCTATCAGGCTCAGAGGATAAAACAGCTAAATATACAGCATTCTGAGCTCCCTCATCTGGAGTTTTAGGAGCATTCAGACCTACCAAGTCAGTCTTCAGCCATCTGGGGCAGTCAGCATTAAGAATTCTGTCAAATGTCTTTTTCTCATTCATCATCCTGGCTTGAGTCTTGGACAATACTACAATTCCAATTTCAGACATACTGTAGGCAGTATGTGGCCAGCACTCCTTCTCATGTACTCCATTCTTGGTACAGTATCTTCCACAAATGTTTTCCATAAGCTTCACTAGCTGCTCCTTAGTGATTGTATCACTGCGAAATTTCTGCTGCTGACCTTGGCTGCAACTTGCAAATGCCAAAACACTCATGACATTTGATACGTTTACTACTGTGGTTATAATAGGGAAAATGCCATATTTCAATTATCGACAAAATACTGTATAATTTTAGAATAAAGGAGAAAGAAAAGTGATTGATCTCAAATAACACATCTATCATTAAGATGAAAGAGTGAAATAGCATTGCATAAAGCTAAATAGAAGAGTTTCTGGACAAATGGTCTTAATGATAAAATATAAAAACAAGTAAGATTCTAAAGAATAAATTTGCAGATGACACCAAACTGGGAGGGGTTGCAATCACTTTGGAGGACAGATTAGAATTCAAAAATACCTTGATAAATTGAAGAATTGAAATCAACAAAAATTAAATTCACTAAACTACAAAACTACATGTAAGAAGGAAAAATCAAATGCACAACTACAGAATGGGGAATAACTGGCTAAGCAATATGGCCAAAACAGTTCTGGCGGTTATAGTGGATCACAAATTGAATGAGTCAACAAAGTGATGCAGTTGTGAAAAAGGCTAATATAATTCTGGAGAGTATTAACAGGAGTGTCATATCTAAGACAAAGCAGTTAAATGTTCTGCTCTGTTGGGACTGGTGAGGCCTCAGCTGGAGTACTATGTTCAGTTTACGTAGGGCACCACACTTTTAAAAAGACATAGACAAATTGGAGAGAGTCCAGAGGCGAGCAATAAAAATAAAAAAAGGTTTAGAAATCCTGACCTATGAAGAAAGGTTAAAACACCAGGCATGTTTAGTCTTGAGAAAGGAAGACTGAGAGGGAACCTGATATATGCAAGGTAGTTGTAGCTGTGTTGGTCCCAGGATATTAGAGACAAGGTGGGTGAGGTAACATCTTTTATTGGACCAATTTCTGTTGGTGAGAGAGACAAGCTTTCAAGCCACACAGAGCTCTTTCTCAGGTCATGATGAACCTGAAGAAGATCTCTGTGGCTCAAACACTCTTACTAATAGAAGTTGGGGGAACCTGATAACAATCTTCAAATATGTTGAAGGCTGTTACAGAGGATGGTGATCTATTGTTCTCTGTGTCCACAGAAGGTAGAGCAAGAAGTAATCAGCTTAATCTGCAGCAAGGAGGACTTAAGTTAGATATTAGGAAAAACTTTCTAATTATAATGATAGTTAAGTACTGGAACAGGCTTCCAACGAAGGTTGTGAAATCCCCATTACTGGAGGTTTTTAAGAACAGGTTGGACAATCACCTGTCAGGGATGGGATAGGTATACTAGGTGCTGCCTTATCATGGGGTGACGGGCTAGATGACCTCTCAAGTTCCCTTCCGGTCTTAGAATCTTATTTCTTCGACAGGTGGCTGTTGTGGCTTATACATCTGCTCAGGGTAAAGTAACTGACAGATTTGATGGCAAGAAGTAATTTTCTTCTAGGTCAGATTGGCAGAGCCTTGGGGATTTTTCACCTTCCTCTGCAGCACGGGGCATGGTTTGCCTCCTGGGATCATCTGGGCAGATCTCATCTAATCAATTTCATGCCATTCCAGGGGCCTCAGATACTGTTGGCACCTCAGTGTCTCCTATTCTCTGCCTATGGCACACAACAGTTTAATCTAACTCAAGTAGGGGTATCTAGGTGAAATTTCATGGACTATGGTAAGCAGGAGGTCAGACTGGGTGATCTAAAAGTCCTTTCTGGCCTTAAACTGTGAAACTATTAAAACAACTTCAGTCCTCCAATAAGGAACTGGGATCTTGAATATAAGTAACAGGCAATAAGTGCACCCCCATCCGTCTGTCTGTTGTCACTTGTCTTACACTTAGATTGTAAGCTCCTTGGGACAGCAACTGTCTTTTTGTTCTGGGTTTGTGCAGCACCTAGCACATTGGGGAGCCTGGTCCATGCATGGGGCTTCTAAGCACTAGGGTAATAAAAATAATAAATAATAAGAGAATTAATAAATAACCAATTTCACCCTTTTGTTGGGTGCTCTTTCTCCTTGTCTTGGAAGAGCAGGAGCAGATCCAACTGAAGAAGTACCCCAGAAGGAGGGTTACTAACAGTCCCGTATTAAAAGGGACGTCCCTTATTTAAATAAAATATTGTCTATCCCACACTAAATCAGCACAGGATACCTTTTATCCTATATTTCAACCAGGTTAGTGCCATTAGTTGGCAACTTGACCTGGTGCAGTGTCACAATGCCTCTCAA